ACATTGCCTGTATTCTAAGAGCTCATACACACAGTAGGTTGCACGCAAGCCTTTGTAAGACTCCATGAAAGCACAACCAACTCTAGGGATGGCCAGTAAGGGGAGGCTGTTGGCTCCCAGGGAGAAGGAACTGCACAGGAACTGGAGCTGCCCAGGAGGGGATGGCGGGCCTTGGGCCTGGGACCTCCTTCTAGAGGGGTTTTTTGACAGTGGATGCGTTTAAACAAAAGCCCAGTGGCCAGTCAACACGTCAAAAGGTGGCCCTCAGTATTTCTAATTCCCAGTCTGAATCTGTGGCACACTATTCTAAAAGGAAACCCGGAGTATTAGTGAAATAAGCATTGATTAAGAAGTGGGGCCTATTCATGAGGGAATACAAAAACTTCAGAGATCTGAGGCTTTTCTAGGATATCAGTTCAAACACGGAGCAATTCTCAGAGATGGGCTTTCTTTAAATTTGGCACAAGAGAATTTTAGAAAATAAGAGCAAAGAACATCACTATGTATAGTTCCACCCCATTGCTTCTGATGGCCTGAAGACACCATGCGGCACTGTGACGCCCAGTGAGGACAGAATCGCTCCACATCACTGGGAAGCAAGCCCAGCAGAGCACGTCCAAGATACAAGCTCCCGTTTGTGTCCCCCCCCACAACACAACAGGGCACCACAGCAAAGCCAGTCCTAGTCCTGTGGCTAGAAACCTGGGCTGCCGGAGGCCAAGGGACATGGTTTCACTAAACAGCTGAACAGAGAAAATTCACTGACACAAGAAAGGTGTCCGAGGTGCGATTCTAATCTCTGTTATCAATACAACAGCACAGAAGGAAAACACTCAGATGGGAAGCACCTATTTTGAGCACTCCTTCTCCAACTTCCCTCAAAAATAACAACAAAGTCTAAAATCTCAAGGTTGTAAAGAGTTAACTGAGTTTAGTCATTCCCTACACATGAAACTGAGTCTGTTTTTTAAAAGATTATTGATGAATAAACTGCGGTTTTCTTCCTACTAACCCTTGGTTTATAGAAAGCTTGGTACAGCTTCAAAAATGTGATACAGCAACTTTGCCAGTTTCAAGAACCCAGGATTGTATAACCCTGGTCAATTTCACCTGTCCCAATCCCCGTTTATCCTCAGACATCAGTTTATAATGTTATTTTGTTGCTCCTAGCAAAAGCCAAGATCCTGGGCTGCCCTTTTCACCTCTCCGCACATCTTGGGGCACACAGACTCACCAACTCTCCCACACAGAGCTCTAGAGAAGTGAAATTAGAAGGTGCCAGCACCTGAGAGAGTGCTGGGATGCAGGGAAGCCCATCAGTCTGTCAGGCTGCTATGGACAGAGGAAGTCCTGTTGGCCGCCAGCCCCCCAGCCCCTCATCATTTTAGAATTTTTTCCTTCGTACAATCAAAAATAAAGAAGTAAGGGCTGAGGCTGTGGCTCAGTGGTAGCACACTCGCCTGGCATGTGTGAGGCACTGGGTTTGATTCTCGGCACCACTTAGAAATACATAAAATAAAGATTTATCAACAACTAAAAAATATATAATTAAAAAATAAAGAAATAATCTCCATATGTGATTCTGTTGTAATTAAATTTATATCTTACAGAAAACAGTTATTTCTTACATTAGGTTGCATCTGATATAATTGAAACTGATTATTTTCAATATTTAATCCAAATTTAGAAGACTTTTTTCTTATGAAATAACTAATAACTTTACACTCTTAAATCCAGATGCTGAATGCTTTCAACCCTCATACCCTCTTGAGTTTTCAAGTTTGCTAAATCTCAAAAGTCGACATTAAGTATTTCTCTGGGACATGAAAATGGTGCTTTTAGTATTTCTGGAAGTGTCACACAATGTCACACAGAAGAGGCATCACCTTTTGTTCTCCCAAAAATGAGGTGCACCAACTGGAAGCAGGGGTCGGACAAGAACACACCTGAGCAGAGCCGCCGCACAGAGGACTGAGAGAACCTGGACAGCACAGGAGGCATCTGAAAGTGGCCTCTGCTACTGGCCTTAGCAGACTGCTGCCACCTGGGAATGCTGTGTTGGTGCTACCTGATCTTCTGGCTTTACAAGAGAAGGTAGAAATCCAACTCTTTTTATAGTATTTCCACTTCTAAATATTGGCCAGTGATTCACAAAACCCCATAAGCACATGCCAGCCATGCTAAATGCATCTGTCAGAGGTCCTCAACCTTGCAGCCTCCAAGTTGCAACCTTACTCAGCTAATGATTTCGTGTGAATGAGAGATGTTTTGAGAGGGCACTCAGCTTTTGCCACAATTTTTCTGACACCTTAACATGTTAGAATACTGAGAAAATGTACAGAGGCATTCTTATTTCCTGTAACAGTAGTAGAAATGATATTTACATTACTTACCCTGCTGACTTCTTTAGGAGCTGATTCATCTGAGGGATGAAGGAGAAAACACAATTAGAAACTCTGAGAAGTTTCTGAAATTCAGAACATGTCATTTACTCTCAACAAATTCAAGGCTCTTTTGCAATGCTTCCTCTTAGAAAATCTTATAACTTTATTTTTTAAAAACTATAAAGGTTAAACATAACAAATCTAAGCAAACACTAATTACAGAGGAAAAACAAAATACCATCACCACAGCAGGGCATTTCCAGATTACCTTTTCAAGATTTCAAAGTACCTGAAAATATGGCCACACTGAGGCATATTAAGCAATACATTATCTAGATGGGGTTCAACACTTGCACTGTTTTACATGATACAACCCCAGTGAATACGACACTTGTGCTGTGAGGACTCAACCCAGCAGACTTGGAATTGTCTCAGCTCTCCTGCTGAAATAAGGCCTGTAACTGCAGGCATTCTGGCCCGGCAAGAACCACACTTGCTAACGGTGCTCTCGGCACCATGGGCCCCAGCAGCTGAGCTGCGCACACCAGCTCCACAGCACTGTTGACTGCCAAGTGAGACTGATGGCTTGTACCTAGTCCAGATGAGACCGCTATCCCCTTCAAGGGCTCTTCTCTTGGAGCTGCTACAGGAAAAAGGATGCTTATATGATCAACAGGGTGTGAGAAACATGCTGGCAGAGATTCCCTTTCCATCTACGGGTTCTGAATGTCTTGTGACCCAGAGAGCATTTGTGTGACACTAACAGAGAGGGAATGCTACTGGAGTTCAACCTGGCCTCCCCAGACTCTTTGTTCCTTGCCAGACGGCAGCCTTAACATGATGGCGTGCTGCACTGTGTCATTATCCTGCAACAGACTACAGGTTCATGGGCACTGTGTCTTCCTTAGCAGTCAACCCCAGTCTAGCTGCTAGCGTAACTGCACTGACACATCCTGTGTCACCACAAAGCATGCGTGGGTAAAACATGCCCCACATCTCTGGTTCAGGAATTCAGACAAGGTTATTATTCTCTTTCCTTCTTCATGTCCATGTTAACTGGCCACTGATTCCTGATGTTTGTTTGCTCTTTAATCCTTCGATTCTTCTCAAGTTCACTACTTACTACCCATTCCTACCGATGACAATCTAGTTCCAAATCACATCATCTATCAACTAGTAGGTTCCAAGCTGGTCCCTGAGCCCAGTATCTGCCCTAGTAATCATGTCTATGCTAGAAAGCACATGCACAGACACACAGACACACAGACACACACACATACACACACTGTTGGTGAAAGCTCTGACCTGCAGTCACTGGCTATGCCGACTAGAGGAAGGTGCCTTAAAGTGAAACACTGTCCTAACAATATGAACCTTTACAGAACAAGTTTGCCTTTGTTGTCCTTCAAAGAGCATATTCAGAGTGAAAAGCAACAGCACTGCCTCCTCCTGCCAGTCCACACAGCCTGCATGGGGACCCTGGGGCTAAAGCCACGACTTCCATGCTGCCTTCCTCCCCTGCAGATTCCACCTGCACCTTGAATGGACAGCTGGAAGCAGAAACAGCACTTCACACAGTCCAGCAAGGAAGCCCGCTTTGAAATGAAAGGGTACAGAACCATGGAAAAGAAGGAAATTCCACTGACATAAGATTTGGAACCACTCACTGGCAACCAAAAGGCTCACGACAGAGGACACTGATTCCCAGGCTGCCCAGGGACTCCACAAACACTGTTTCATTCAGCAAGTGAGTACCAAGGAAACGTATGCACCAGTCACTTATCTCTGCTCCCAGCAGCTTGCATTCCAGGGAGATGAATAAGCAAGGAAATGATGTTTTAGGAAAACCTTATCTATGCTTGTTAAAGACAAATTCATTTTTTTAAACATATAAAGAATCCACAATCAAAACATCATTTTAATAATTTCTAAAAGCCTTAGCAAGAATAGTTCATGGGAAAAAAAAAAAAAAACATTCCCCAAAGGGATTTCACAGTAAGTACCAAAAACTTTTTAGGTAAATACTTACTGGTATACCTTTCATGGTAACTACTCAATGTTAAGTATTTTATAATTCCTTGTAATTGTGTGTATATTCATTACTTTTTGTGATCACATTTGCTGATTTTTTCTTTGATACAAAATGGAATTTTACTAAAAATCCACCTTAATTACAAAGCTTAAAGAAATTCAGATTACACTAATACTATTGTGCTCACATAGCCACCAATTTGGTCAAAGGTCTGTGGCCACTTGTCATATTCTTCACTGTGTGCTTGGCTTTGAGGCAAACTTCATTAGGGCTGGGGATCAGAATCCACTAACTAATACACTTTAGAATCAGTAAGGAATTACTGAATTTTCTTACTATATGATCTATAAAAATCGCAATCAAAAGTAAATACCCCTTAAGAAAAATAAACTATGAAAGAAAAAAATCAGAGTAACCTAAATAAGTTTAACAAATTATTATAGAAGATACAAATAAGATCTACTTAAAATCAAGCATTAAAGAGTTGAAAAAGATTCTTATTCTTACAATATACAAATATTTTTCTTGTTATTTTCTAGCATATTCCTTATAAAAGGCTCTGAAAAGACTTAAAATAAAAATATAGATACATAATCCAAAAATGCAGTGGCTAAAAATGATGGCAAATGTTTATATTTATTTACATGAAAAGCTGTCCATAATTCAGTCACTTTAGAAAGGAGGGCGATACGGTACTATTGTAGAAGCTTACCTTGGCTTGCTGTATACATTTTTATAAAGTTTTATTTGTATACACACAAATGGATTGCAATTAAAAATTATTTTTTCTACAGTATTTCATGTCTTTTCACAAGTCTGAAGTAAAAAGAAAATGCAACCATAGACTTCATACATAAACATAAATATGCATCTTTACTAGTATCTTTTTCCTCTACAGATTCCCAAATTTTTATAATCACAATAAACTGCAATGTGAATAGTGAGTCTTTTCCCTAATAGATGGATTCCAAAATACAACCTTGTGCGTGAGGACAAAAAAATCAGCGTTCAGTGCACATGACCAGGTGGAGGTACCAAAGATGCACAGCCCTTCCAAAAAAACCCCACAGAATTCTTACATCTGCCTGTGGCATCTCTCTGTGTTGGCCCCAAGATGTTCCCGTGCTGCTGGGACTGTGTGAGCCTGCCAACACCCACTCCTGCTCTGGTGCTACTTGCTGCAGTACCCACCCCAGGCAGGGGTGGCCTGCAGCCAGTCAGTGGGAGAATGACCACTGGTGGCACTCCCTGGTTACCCAGTCAGGATCTGGAGTGGAGACCCTGCACTCTGACAGGTTCAAGGATGTTCTGGAATCCCCTGAACAGAGAAAATGCACATCACTGTCACATTTATCATGAGGAAAAATAAAAGCCATCTTATTAAGGCTAAGCAGAAAAAAATAAGCAGACGATTAGCATAGAAAAAAGAAAGTCAATAGTGATAAGGGAACCAAAATATCATGTCTGAAAACATATAACATAAGAGTTAAAGATAATATACTTTCTGGAAACCAAAGGCAGAAAATTATGGCTGAGGTGTTTTTGATTGCTTAATATAAAAAACAAATGAGTGACCTGTAGGAGGCATTCATTTCCTTGCTGTGAACTCTGTGAGAACCTGACCTAGAGGTTCTCACAGGATGGACACTGCATTTGTCCTTCACTTTACCCATACAACACTATTTCAAAACATAATCTTAAAAAAAAAAAAGCTAATCAGGAAAAGCTGCAATCTAATATTAAAAACTCTGCACCTCAAGTTCTATGAAAATCATGTTACTATTAGATGTAAAACAAAGAATTTAAGAAAAGGTATGCCAGGCATGGTGGCACACACCTGAGATCCCAGTGACTAAGGAGGCGAGGATTAGAAGGATCCTGAGTTCAAACCCAGCTCAGCAACTGACAGAGAACCTGTGCAACTCAGTGAGACCCTGTCTGAAACAAAATATAATAAAAGGGCCAGGGATGTGGCTCGGGGTTAAGCACTCCTGGGTTCAATCCCTAGTACAAAAAAAAAAAAAAAAGATTATTAAACTTCTTTAATAATCATTTAGAAAAAAGAGGGAAATGACCATTTCATGCCTTTGTGATAAATTAAGATTGAAAACTACATTTTTCCATTCCAAATTGTGATATTCATATGACCTAACTGAAGGTTACGAAGTCTCCCATAAATAGGTTGACTCTCTGCTCTGCTCTCAGAAAATACCAAGGAGTAACATGTGGGAAGTACTATGTATCCAAGGCAGCTCCCTGTCTGTGGTCACTGGAAAGATTCATTCACTGCACTGCTGTCCTTCAAGACTATTCAACTCACTTTGCCTTCCACACTTCATAGACAGTATCTAACATTCCTAATTACCCGCCAGGGCATCTACAACACACAAGACACACACACTTCCACAAGCCTGGCCTCGGTAGGGCTCCATACTGGTTTTGCTCCCTATTAACTCAAACCTTCCTACCTTCAAACAGTATTTACCAACCATATAGGTGCCACACATGATTCTTAGTGCTTTCAATCAGTATCTCAGAGATCAAAAAGACAAAAATAAAACAAAACCTTGTCTTTGCAGCTTCATTCTAAAGGTAGGGGACAATAAGTCTGATAAGGCTCAGAATTAACATAGCAAGTTGAAAGTGCTTTCAGGTGCAGAGGGCAGGGCCAGGGGCTGCCCAGGTGGTGGGGAAGGGAGAGGCAGGGTGTGCAAGCGGCAGTCTTCCAAGGCTGGTACACTGAGGAAACACTGAAGTCCCTGCTGCGGAACTGGACTGCAGCTCTGAATGTAAGTCTTCCGAGACCAGCGAGGCCTCTTGTCCATCCTCTCACACAACAGACAACTAACCTTTCTCAACATTTATACATTCCTTCCCTGTTAGGAAAGTAGGATACTTTAGAAAATAAATGATTTAGAGCTGGAGTCGGGGCAAATCTCTTCTCAAACATCAGCTTTACTTACCCACCAAAATTGGCTTTCTTGACCTTTCCAAACTTGTTTTTCT